AAAAAAAAATTGTTATGAAAGAATTTATGTTGGATATTTAGTTGATTGGCCTATGCTTCTTTTTGTGTATTTCATTACAATATACATTAATTTTATATGTATTTTTTGTTACGATACATGTTTCATTAAAAAAGATAAGTGATGTTTTTTTTATTTCTTATTTAATTGATTTTGTATTTTGTTTGTAATAAAATATTAATGTATAATTCGTTTACACCTTTTCATCACATAAAAGAAAATAGAAAGTAAACAAAAAAATTGAATTTATTAAATTAAATCGGTCCGATCAAATTTGCTAATATATGACTTCAAACTAAGAATTATGAATAAAATAAAATAAAATATTGTTAAGTGTGTGAATTACATTGCATAAAGAAAAGTTAGAATAATATTTGATGGCTCTCCTCCTAGATCTTGAGTGAACATGTGGAAATGAGCTCCGATCTATTCGAATTGCCTCCAAATCGTCCTTGAACCGTTGCAAACACCTGCAAAAACTCAACATCGGAGATGTTTCCGGTTGAGGAGCCTCCGACGCTCAAGTCAATGAAAGTGATCAAGATGAGCTCTGCTCAATAGGAGCAGCAGCTGGGAAATGAGTGAAGAATGAAAAGTTAGGGTTTGGAGTTACCTCAGCTCCTTTATATAGGAGTAGAGAGACTTAATGGAAATACCTAGAATGCCCTGGCCGTCTTACGCGAAGTATCCAAAATGCCTTAGTCGGTTCGCATTCCATCCACTCCTGAGTCAGCATCTAGATTCCTTCTATCTTATGAAGATTCTCCAGCTTTGAGGGTTTTTCCAGCAGCGTCGACGCCGGCATGAGCCGTCCGAAGTCTCATAGGTTGACTTGGGGCCTCCCCGAATCGACTTGTGGTTACGCGTGTATCTGGGGTTCTTGGAATGCCTGCTCGTCCTCTTAAGGGAAGTCGTCTTACACTCAGTCGACTCCTTAAGTCGTCTTGGGACCGTTATCGGACCGACGGTGATCTTCGAATGGCTGATAGGCCGAGTCGACTTCAGAAATGTCGACTTAACCATGTCGTCAGCAACATTCGTCTAGTCGGGTATTTAACATTTGAACTGTGCTATGATAATAGGGCCATATCATCTAGTCCCCCCCCCCCCACAAAAAAAATTACTCTAAGCGACTCCGAGCTTAAGAGTAAATTTGGTGATTGGGCTCCCTTTGAATCTTGCTACTCGTTTTCCCTACACTGTTGGCGCTGCTCATGCGGTGTCGATGACATCCGTAGTTTTCTTTATCATTCCTTTGATAATGAGTCGTCTCGTCTTTTTCCTTACCTCGTCGTGTCGACAATTCATTTTATTCGACCTGGTTTGTGGTTGAATCTTTCACTTGGAGTTTTTCGGGATGTACTCACTCCCTATTATTATTATTATTATTATTTTTTGAATTTCGAATTCTCACACTTAGGATGTGACTCACTGCTTCAATTTCACTTTCGCCGCTTTGAACTCTTATTTTTCTTTTTCTGCAATTTTTTGGGTTTCTGGGTTTGTGTTCTTCATGTTCTAGAGGATCTTCAAAGAATCCTGGTAAGTTTATGTTAGATCTTCTATACTCGTTTCTTATCGATCGAGTCACGTTTGTGAAGATATCGCTTTTAGGAGATGAGACGGCTCTTTTCCTTCTTCGCCTGTCGACTTGTGTCGACTCTTTAGTTCCCTTAGTCGTCTTGTGATTTAGTCATTCCTCGCTTCTAGGACCGAATGAGTCGAGTAGATATTTCTGTGGTCGACTTTGTGATCTATGAGTTCCCATACAAGTCGAAGTACTTTTGCCTCTGATTTTTCTTGTGTTGATCCTCATTTCCTCGATTTTTCTTTCAATAGATTCTGAGTCCGACTCTATCTATCGCTCTATGCCCGGCTCCCTCGTCCGTCAAATAAAGGAGTACTCAGGTTCTCACTCTGTCGAAATAATTGGCTCTAAGCCTGCGGTCGAGCAAGAAGGATCCCAAGGCTCATCCGCCTCGGCCTTTGGGATTGATCATGATGTATATACTCAAGTCTCAAGCCCTCTTATCGGACGATTTGATGCAGAGTAGGGAAGACCCTGCTCGAGGTAGCGACTCTCCTCGACTATCCCTCTTTCCTCGAGGTATTCCTCTTAGGATATCAGGCATTCATGTATATAGGACGAGTCCTGCCCCTCTATCGATATCGGCTCCTTTTTCTGTGTCTCAAGATGTAACTATAGTATGTCCTATAGTTAGATTAGTTGTTCTAAACCCATTTTCTTATGCTTCTGCAGCTCAAATCGAGAGATTTAGGTCATTCAGTGGTCTGCCTTCTGATTGGGAGTTGGTCGCCCCCGGTCCCAACGACGTTTATGCTCATCCTCCTAAAGGCTGTTACACTTTTTTCGTTGATCAAATAATGCTCGGCTTACGGTTTCCTATTCAATCTGAACTCTTGTCGATTAGCAACATGTACAATGTACCTATAAATCAATTTTCCCCTAATGCTATTCGCATTATGGTAGCCTTTATCATAATCTCTCGAATAAAGCTTGGCCGTTTTTTGCCCAAGTTCCTTTTGTACTGTTATAGCTATCGTTTTATAAAGGACGCCCATTGTTTGGGTCGTCGACCTGGCGTTTCCTTCCTCGAGGATCTTTCCTCAAACGTCACCGAACCAAATTCTTTTACATCCGTCCTGCTCCCGGCCAGTATCCTCTTTGCAACATTTGGCTTACCTCGAAGGTCAAGCAGGACAATCCTCGTCCTATCGAGCGAGTTCCAGGATATGTTGGACGACTTAAGTAAATTCAAATGGAGTGCCCGTTTGTTGGTTAAGGATCGCGGTCTTCTTAACCATGTGGGCCTTTGGATTGACGAGGACGACCCTCGCATCGATGATCCTCGTAAGCTCACGTGTTTGTCTATTCATGTGCTTACTTTATTTTACTTCTTGTAATCGTTAGTGGTGTTTCTTAATTGCTTGTTTCCTCGTCTTTCAGTTAAAGCTTTGCAGTGCTTCAAGGCCAAAAAAAACTAAGGGTGGCGAGAAGTCCGCCAAGAAACCCTCTCACCCTGCGGGAGCCAATGACGGTTCTGGCTCTGGGTTGAAGCAGTCGGCAGTCGAGACGACTGCCGCTAGAAAGTTGAAAGTGGTTACCCCTTCCGCAGCCGTGCCTCCAAAGGCCTCGGGGTTGAAATCCCGTAAGAGGGCTCGGGATGAAGCCGACTTCATGTTGGTGTCTGACTCATTCAAACGCCAAAAGATCCGTGACAAGGGGAGGTCGGTCGAGACTCCCCGTTCTCCTGGTGGCCTCGAGACAATCACCCTAGAGCGACCTTCCCGACTTTGGGACCACCCCCATCCTCATGANCCATGCCGACCGCGACCCTTATGACCGTGCCGGCCGTGCTCTTTTATGCTTTTCTCGGGTAATTGCTCCCGACCCTTGTTTTTTTATGACCAGTGGCAGGTCGACTTCTTTTTTTTTTGTGTTTGTTCTAACCTTGCTTTTTCTTGGTTTTTTTTTTTAGTTCATGGCGTACGTGATGCCCACTCTTCTTGAGGAGTCTAGCTCGCCTAACTCCACGTCCATGCCTATAAGAAGAAGTGCGAGGAACAGCTCCACGAGCTCGAGCAGAAGAATGACGATCTTGCGGCGGCCAACGCCATCATCGTGAAGCTCAAATCTAAGAAGGCCGCCGCCCTCTCCAAAGTCGATCAGCTGCGCGCCGACCTTGCGAAGGCCACCGAGGACA